TCCTGAGAATGTTGACGCCGCACGTCGGAACCAGAATAGCATAAGACAAGAGTTTGGGGGGGGTACGAGAAAAGGGATGGACTGAGGCGTGTGATCTGCCGTGAGGAAAGCAGCAAACTCTCACTGCTTAGAGCTGTGGACCCCAAGCGCCTTATAGGAAACCAAAACATCGATCAATTATTCAACAAGGTACAGAGCAGACTAGCTATACAGCAGTGGAGAAGACATAGTGCAAGGGGAGATTTGAAGGGGCGAGGGCAGATGTAGCCTACATTGGAGGATACATCACGAAGGAATAGAATTACAGTGGACTCCCTGGATACGAGTCTAATCCGTTCCACAACAGCACTCGTGTCTCGATCCACTCATATTGAGATTGAATTTTCCCCATTAGGAATAACTAAAAACCAATTAATTCATTCCATCACCCCAGAAATATACTATTAACCCCCCCACCCATCTAAACATCAAAAACATATATATAAACAAATATATTGATAATTTAAAATAAGAAAAAAAAAACATTTTATATCATTGGTACAAAATGACCAAAATGGAGCTCGGTTGAGCACTCATAACTAGATATTTCCTCGTATCAGGAGCAACATCTTGCAATAGTTGCAGACTTAGTTTTGAGGAGAAAAATAATCTGGAAATCACATTTTTAGATGGGGACAAACATGTCACTGTGTGTCTATTGTAGGAGCAGTGAATACATTAAGTGCACGGCCAAGCTTTCTGTGGTCAAGGCAGAAAAGCCGGGGCTCAGAAGAGCTCAGTGATTGATGTGAGGCCTCGCACTGAAACATGACAGAAGATGCTTTCTTCTCTAATGGTACATGCTGGACATGTTTTTGGCAATTATACGTTGGCTGCGAGGCCTCAATGATTCCCTGTCATCACAGTGAGGTTGAAGTGTTGTTGTCATTGAGACAGTGCCGACGCTTTCTTCACCGATCTGCCACTTGGTGTAATGGCTAACTGGATAACTGTTGGCTGTTCAGAAAAAAGACTAACATGTAATGTGCATTTTTTAAAAATCTTTTTGTTGTTGTTATGTTTGTTTTGTTTGTTTGTTGTATATTTTAGTGTTTTTGGTTCTTGAGACCTCCAGGAGGGGATTGTCTCCAGATGGGCCCATGACCCTTATGATGTGATTAGGATGAACAATTGCAGTATATAATGTTTGTGAACACTAGAAAGGTCCTGTAGAATTGTTTATTTTTGCTTTAGCATTAGCTACAATAGCTTAGTGCCGATGTAAAAAACAATGCAAAGACAAAAAAAAAAAGAAACCTGTCTTATTATTTTTAATCCTGCATTTTCAGATTATAAAGCAAGCGTCTATTGACAGCGAACAAGGACACACGCACATAAAGACACTGGCACACAGCAAGGGCATTAGCTGAGACATCCATATTTGTTTACAAGACAGGTGGAAGCATTGACAATAATCAAGAAAATGGCTCAACCATTTTATTTCTATCTTAGGTGTCCTGTTGAAGCCACCCATAATGTTTTAAAATCTTTATAAATTAAAGATATTTATCATCTCTGCTAATCCATCTGTTGTAAGAACCCTTCCAAATCACTGTGCAGACTACCGCTGTGGTAACAAGCGTCGCATTTAGATCCGTTCTATTTAGATCCACGTCATCTCATCATGTCCTTGTCAGTGATTGCAGTTGGATTGTTGTTCATGTAAACGTAGCTCTTTTTCTCATTCATTTCCTTATCTCCCTCCTCTTGTCTCTCTTTCTCACTTCTCAGCTAAAATTGTTTCTTAATAAGAACCAAAATCAAGAGCCTCCACAGGACCCCTGACGGCGAATTATGTCTCTTTTGATTGGGCACCTTGTTCACATAGGACTTTCCTGCTGTGTGCACAGCCAGCTCTCCAGGGAGGCCACACTGATTCATAGTGCACTGTATTTATGTAGACATCAGCTACATCTTCACTGCAGAGGCAATTAAACAGGACGTCTACGGCATAAACCCTTTGCACTTTGTTTACACCAGGAAAGTTTTAAAAGCATGTCACCTTCACTGAAGAATGAACAATAGTGCAGAGTATGTCACCATTTCTATGGCTGGCTCTATTAACTTTAACGACTCCGAGAAAATAATGAGAGTGCCAACATGTTTTTTTTCCTTCAGAAGCATATGCATTGAACATTTGTTTGGCAGAGAAATTCAAATAAAATACAGTGGTGCCATTTTATGCCAAGTACAACAAATATGTTGATAGCATCAAAAGAATCTGTTCATTATCAGTGTCTCTCACCTGCAAAGACTGTTAACTCCTTCAGAACTTTGGTACCTGTGATTACTTATATCTGTTTATTTATAGTGTAATGACAGTAAATGCTGTTCATAGCCTGGAAGTTCTAATGTGACTAGGCACAATGGTTGAATTCAGCAGGCAGACCAGAGTGGGCTTAGAAGAAAGAAGGAGTCTGTGAGTGACCTTGAGATAAGGCAGCAGGAGCAGTTGCAAAGGTCATTGATATGCACAACCATCACATGAACGCCTACTGTGTGTGGCGGCATGTGTGCTGATGCGTTTCATCCTGTTCTGCAATGTGACTTGCATTAAAGACGTGATTGATTATGGTGTGCCTTCAATCGCAGGCATCAAATCTCAAGACGATTTAGTTCACTAATATAACGTATCCACAGTGTGCCACAGCACCGCGGCCCTTATATAGTGACACTGTGTCTAATTTGTGAAATCTGCCCACAGCCCCACCATGTCAGTGCTGCAAGAGCAAATTTGGATCAATCTCAGGACTCAATTACCCCGGCATTTGGTGCTTGACGACCCAAATAAACATTTTGTCACCAATCCATATGTTATTATTGTCCACCAAGGCTATCATAGCTGCTAGTATGCACACAAACACACACATTGAGAAACACTGCCTCTAATTGCCTGGCTGTGTGGATTTGACAGTGGCCAGAATACAAAATATGTGAGCCATTACAATTGTCAGTTCAAAGAGAGACAGGGTATCACATTAGATGGACTGGATTGGATTGGATTAGATTAGATTAGATTGGAATACATTTGATGAATACGTCTATGTTTACAACTAGAAAATAAATCATTTGTCATCCTCCCGACAACATGGCTAATTAGCATCAATGACTTTAAACAAGGGCAAGTTTCATTTGTTGATGCCAAAGTTGAGCCAGAACTCTCAGGCCTTTGTGTGAATGAACGGTGACTTGTAATTTCCACCATTATATATTGTATATTGTTATTGATTTGATTATATTTATGATATGTATGGTTACTTTTATGGGAACATTGGTGGCTTATATTTTTATGTTTTATACTTTAAATTCTAAATAAGTTTCAGAGGATTACATCAGTAATAAAACCAGCTGTTCTCTGATAGGTCATGTGACCATTACCACTGTACACTCTCACCTGGGAAAAGCTTCTGCAGGGATGAATCCCCGAGGGGCGGAGTGTGTTTGGAATTTCCATCGAGTGCTTATCCGTCAGCGCAGGGTTGTCCATGTGCATTTTTCCATTTTACACCCAGGTGTTGAGTGTGGTCTAACTGCCCTTATTAGAAAGTGACAGAGGCAACTCTGGCCTTTAAAGGTTTGTTTTCCTTGGGAAAGGGATTGAGTTATAAACAGCAACAGAGAAATAGTCATGGCTTCAAACAGCTTCAGATGTGCCAATATGCCAGAATGGTGTTGGTGAGCATCACTGGCTCACAGCAAGAAGAATTGCAGAGTGCAGATTATGTTTTTTGTAGACTCTCAAATGACCATATGTGTGAATGTGAGTGTGAACGGCTGTTTCAGTATGCTGGCCTTCTGATGGACTGGACACCTGTCCAGAATGAATAAGGTTTGAAGCCATTACCAACAGTGGGGCTTCAAAACCACCAGGGCACATATATCAACTGTTAGGCTATATAGTGAAAGAATAATGGACTTAAATTTACTGAATTTTATTTTGAAATTATTTGGATTATTTTGAATTGACAAATATTTGTACATGTTTGTTAAACATGAAAATGTAAATGACAATGACAAAAATAATCAGATAAGATTAAAAAAATTGTACAATTTAAACACATTAAGGAGTGAGGAACCTTTTTATTTCAAGGTTGCTATCACAAGCTGGACTTTGATTTTATAGCCGCAGTTAGTATGAGAGCTCAAAAAACTGCAGCTAAAACAGTGACAGTAGTAAAGTTGGTGAAAGAGGCAAAGTCAAGGAAAGTAAATAAATCCAGTTTCAAACATACTGGGAAACAAAGCTTGGGCAGCTACCCAACCCAATGTGGTATAGCAGCCAATCAGCCTGCCAGGCCTCTCTTCTTACAGAGTGAGGCTGGCACCAGAAACCGGCCAAGCATAGAGACAGAGAAAGAAGGAGAGATGGACAAGGACAGAGAGAGAGAGAGAGAGAGAGAGAGATGGAGTGTTTATACACAAAACTACTTATCCTTCCTTTCCTCTCTTTCTCGTTTTATCTCATGCTGTGGGTAAAGGTGACAAGTGCAGATAACTGTATCACGGGCAAACTGCACAATTAGTCTAAATTTTAGCACTGTCACCGGCAGTCACATACAGTATTTGTAGGAGGAGAAACAAAGAGGCGCTTCAGCAGCCACTGCTGAGTAAATGTGTTTATGAGTGTGTGTGTGTTTGATTGTACTTGTCTATGTATGTGGGTGCAGTGCTGTTCATCTGAAACAACGGACAGATTAAAACGAAAGCTTGTCTGTAACCACCAAACTCTTTTTTTTCGCAAATGCACAAACACATACACAGTGACACATCAGCCTTCTGTGGAGCCCATTAGGTCGCCACTCTTAATGAGGAGAGCGCCCAGCTTGTGCCCCGATTTGAGCCAAACAAGTGAGCTAATAGATAATAATGTCCCTCCTCTGCACTGGGCTGCGTCAAAACTGTAAATTGACAATTATTCAGCAACTCCATTAAAGGAATGATTTCCTATTGTGTTTACTCAGGAATCTGTCAGCTGTGCGCCGCACTCATCATCAAACAATGTTCTGACAAAATTGTCACAGCTGAAGCCCCCTGTTGTTTCCGTAGAGTTGGGCTGGAGGATTGGCAGATGGGTGAGTCACGACTTCACAGACTATTAATGTCCTTTATTTATAATGTGGAAATTAACATGGTAACAGATAAAAGCAAAATGAAAAATCATATATGAGCTAAAAGAAATGGAGGTATCCATTCACTGTCATTACTGCAGTGAAGTGAACCAGGTGTGGAGTTATTTGTTGGTGTAGATGTAGCTTCATATCAGTATGGAATCATAATAATGCTAAGCTTCATTTTTATTAGCAGAAGATAAACTACAATCAGAAGTTGCAGTGAACCTGTCATGTACTCAAGATGTAGCAGCTGTCAGCTACAACTGTCAGTCACAGTGCCCCCTGGATGCAGGATAACACATGGATGCGTTTTAGCATCGTGTTTCCTCTCCTCTTAATTAGTTCTCAATTCATAAAAGTGATGATTTTCTATGGTACAAGACCATAAACCAATAATTAAGGCCATTCAAATACTCTTTTTCCACAATTACCTTATTTGCCATTAACAATTCTAATGAGGCAAACATTCAGCAAAACGTGCATATCCAATTCAAGCAAAAATAACAAGCAAAAAATAATTCCGTGGAAACGTGTTGTATTTTTGGTGGTTTCAAATCTACTGATCTGGGCTGAACTTTAATCAATGTTAATTGAGGTGACTGATTTCAAGGCATTGTACAGCTCTAAGGGACATCAAGTAGTCACACAATCAAGAAAAAAGTAGGCGGCATGTGAGAACGTCACAGTATTGGTTGTGTTGCCCTGATAGACACAGACATTTATGTTTCTGTTCTTAGTGCAAGCATAGACCAAAATGGCAGGTACTGTGTTTTTTGGTTTTGTTTTGTTTGTTTTTTTCAAAAGTCAAAACCTTCAGAAATATTAAAAATTGCAGACAACCAATTACCACACTAGAAAAACACATGGTAGCATACGTGTCTGACAAAGCAGGTGATGGAAGAGAGTGAGCCCTTATTAGGCTGTACCAGTTGATAGCTAAGGAACTACAGCTGCACACCTTCCAAACCCTTTTGTTGGATGTCATATTTTTACATACATAATTAAAAAAAAGAAATGTAAACGTGCTATAATACCACCTCAAATTTATTAAATAATAATAAAAAATTACAATCATTTTTAAGTCAGTCTCCTCCGTGTTCACGGTAAGGTTATTCTGCCTTTCCTCATTCCTCCTTTTTTTTCTTCTTTGGCCTCAAAGAAGTTGAGTTGAGTTGCAGCACTCCCACCTACATACAGGATACAGGAACATACAGAGGAGGGCGCCCCTGCTGATAAACAAACAACTGGTGGTGAAATGGGATGTCTGTTCTTCCTGACGGTTGTACTTTAGATATAAGTGCACTTGAACACAACAAATGTATCTCTGTCTTGTTGTCAATAAATGTTGCTGCAATGTAGCGTTAGCAACGCCAGGGGAATAAGCTGTGCTATTTACCTAAGATGTCAGAGGTCTGCAGGATGCTGAGGTTTTTTGATGATTGGATTTTTTTTTTCCACTCTTACTTGTCTCTTACACTGAATGCCCGTGTAATTTCTGTTCCACTCTTTAAACAAAAGATGTCCCCACTTTATTGTTTAGCTAATTAGATAATCTCTGTGTACTGGATAAAAGCTTTTACTGTGTGATACATAAATGTCATGCCGTGGCAGTCTGTTGTTGCGTTTTGAATGGATGTATTCAGTGTCTGTGTGCTGTATCACAGTTAGTGAACCAATTGCTGTCAAACAAAAGTGGTATTCTGTTACATTATCTTGGAAACATTCAGTGAAATTGGAGTTTTTTATTTGTTTTATTTTTATTTTAGTGCATACTACCACCTACTGTTCAGATTTGCACTACTTTCTCTTTCAAATCATTTTTATATATTTTCACCAAAAAAAAAAAAGAGAGAAAATGTTGGCATATTTTTTGCTACCATTTTCTGTCAGTGTTAGCATTTTACAACCCCCTTACTGAACCTGACCACCGAACCAAGGCTTGAATGCAAACAAATGAACAAACACGAGCATGACTATCTTGTATTGTATTACACTCCTACCCTCTGTGGCCTTTACTGCGGTGATTTCTTTATCTTATTATATGGGTTTATTAAGAAAATTGGTTTTAAAAATCGTAAAAAACAACAACTCTGCAATCCAGCTCCTTGTACACAAACAACAAACAAACAAACAAATAGTATTTTTTTAAAATAATTCCGTACAACTTATGGTCCAGTATTTGCCAGTGACACTCCGCCGAAGGAACTTTTTAAAATTGTAAAACAACCGTTAAATCCGTCAACTTTTCCCCCGTTCATCGGTCTCATCTGCACGCGCTCTGCTGTCTTCCAGCAGACAGCAGCGGCCGTCCTCGTGCAGCTGAGTCCCTCAAACTGCAGTGCGGCAGCGCTTCGCTATTTTAAGAATTATTTTTACATGTACTGGATTAATATTTAATTGCCTTCCCAGTCTCGGCCGACCGAGCCGTTTAAAGACTGCTAAGTTGTTTTCTTTCCAGACATCACAGACAGGCTCCTGCCATTCGTTTTATTTATTTATTTTTTTATTTTTTTAATCTTTTAACTAAAAGCTGGCATTTAAATTAAGTCCGTTTTCAGCATGGACAGACATACACACACACACACACACGCACGGACGTATAAAAACAAGTTAAGCTCCGTCTCTTACCTCTCCTGAACATATTGGCAGCGGCTGTTTGGACCGTCTAGTGTCGGTGCTGGAGTAACATCCTGTGCGAGTCTGCGATGTTTTGGGTGAATTGTTATTTTTGATTCCCTTTGACCGCAGGTAGTCTTACAGTCTGGTCTCCTCAGTGGTTCTTGTGTCGGAGGAGGAAGGATGGAGGAGGCAGGTGGAGCAAGGGGAGGTGTGTGGTGTTTTCTCCAAAGAACGAGAGGTGAAAGCAGTGGGTCTGTCACGAAGTTGCCTTGTCCGTTGTTTTAATTAGATTTTTTCCCTCACCCTATAAAAAAGGGTGTGGAAAACTTGTCCCGCAGCGTATCTTCGTGGATCTGAAATGAACTCACCTCAACTGATGCTCATGACGGTTCACTGGCACGCATTCTGAGTTTTGTTTATTTATTTTTTTGGTCCGAAAAACAGAAAACGTGCAATATCGAGTGGGTTGAAAGAAATGAAGAGAGCAAAGTTCCTCCTATGACTCCATCATCGCACTCCCCTCAGGCTTGTCAGGTTGCATTCAGGTCAGGTAGAGTCTCATATGTGTGCTGTGTTTGTGTGTCGAGTCAGTGTCGTCTACCGTCTCTGTTACTGGAGAGCTGAGAGGCAGCGGCTTCAAACCCCCTCCCACTGCGAGGTGTGACCGATGAAAGCCAGAGCCTGCCTCTCTCTCTCCCTCTCCCTCCCTCTCTTCCTCTCTCTCCTCCCTCTCTCTTTCTCCAAATAGGATATGCTTTATTGGCATGACAGGGAAGAAGCCATGTTGATGAAGCACTTAGGATCCCATATCAAAATCCTCCTTGCATCAATTCTTGCCCCTTCCTATGCTTCCACCATTGCCCAAGCCTCCACTAACTTTTTCCATCTTTCCAATTCAGTTTCACTGCCACAGCCCCAACATGCTTCATGGGCTCAGATGCTACAGGAACAATATTACCGTAGCTTATTATACAATTAATTTACTCTCTCTCTCCTTTTTCTAATCCCTCTTACCCTCTGTCTCATTTTCACTCACTCACCGTCTTATTCAGTGCCGCTCTCAATTTCTGTAGTCGGGGCATGGTCGTAATCAAATTTAGTTCAGTGGCCACTGCCAACGCTCGCTGTGCAGGGTTTAGAATGAAATAAAGAAGAACACAAAGCAAAAACACACAAAAACATACTCAGCACTGCCGCTTTGTTTCCATCATTGTGAATCCTAGGAGCTGAAACACCCTAATCCACAAACTTTGATCAAATGTGACCCACGGGGGGGTGGATGGGGTACTTCAAATAAAAGCTGTTGTGTTCCATTCATCACCATCAGTGTCCTTGCACACAAATAATCTGAGCACGACCTTCTTGAATACGTTGTTACGTAAACCTCAGAATAATGTTTGGGAGTTTAGCAAGCACACATTGAACATTCTTTAGACTCGTGTCATATATTCTTTGACGGTGCATGATGCAAGAAACCCTTTTAAAAGATTTAAGACACTGAAATGGAATCGATAGCACAGTCTGAGAGGGCTAGCTGAGGCTGCTGCTTTTGTTTACAACAGAAGGAATAAAAGAGGGCAGATTAGACTGGGCTACATATGTCAGAATGATTCATTCAGACCATATCCTTGGTGCACTCACATGGCCAAAATTATTTAACAATAAATCCAAAATTCCAAGTTAAATTCTCAAAGATTATTTTTAGATTACCACCATTCACATGTAAACAATCAGATGACCAAAGACGTATTTAGTGATTTTCAAATAGTGGTGTGTGATCCAAACGCACGTCAAAAAGCTAAGTTGTAGGGTGGCAGGTGTTAATTCCGCTGCGGCACGTTAGTTTTTACTGTTCTGAATTTAGTGCTGTCTCCACCAATCATCTTAACTGCAGCCTGTTTTCTTGCAAAATTATTATCTTTAGATGTGAGAATTGAAGGGGGGAATGGCAAAGCAACTGTGAGTGTGAAAAACACAATTTAAATTCTCAATGTATGTTATTTACATATAATTATATAGGCACAGTAAACAGTGCCATACAGAGGACATTTATCACTTATTCCAAAAAGGCTCCGACTAGAAAACATGTTTTTGTGTTTCAATAATATTTTCTTTTACATGGAGAATGCCTGTGTTAACTGTAATTCAATGGAAAAGGGAATATAATCAAAACTTCACCATGAAAACCACACAATTCTCACTAATTTGTCAATGGTTTAAGATGAAACTCTGTATTGTCGGTCAGACCGCTGAATTGTATTTATTTTCATGGTGAACCTGAGTCCACTGTTCAAACTGACCATTTTTCTGTACAGTCGGACAACTCATACTGAACTTCAGGACAAAGTCCAAACTATAACGGCTGTGGAACCCTCTGTAGACCTTGGAAATTAAATTCTTGTGAGGCATATATCATAGAAAAGGTATAACATTTTTGGAGTGGACCCAAGAGCCTGTGGCCTCACTTATATAAAATGAAAGAATTTTAGAATTACCAGGATGCTCTGAGTGGGTTGGTTGATCAAACTGCAGAGATGGAGATCTGCTCAATCCAGTGTGAGAACATTTTAGAAGCACTCCATCAGCCAGTCCCTGATGTTGTAGTGAATAGATAAAAGCCAATCTGAGTATAGACTGACACCCCTCTTTACTTTACATGGCAGCGTTTAAAACACTGAAGATGTGAGGGACGGTGGAGAACTGCGAAAAATGTTTTAAATGCTATTATTAACATGATTTCCTGCAATTAATCCCATTGTTACACGCCAAAACCTTTCCACAATCATAACAGAATAACAGCTAGATAACAGGTGTGTGAGAGGACAGGACAGAAAACATTAACAAATGGATTGACATTGTTATTACGTACATTACTGGTGTCTCAGGAACACTTTAGATTTCAGACCAAATTACCAGTTAGGCCAAAGTCTACCCTAAACTCAGCATCACCATCTAGAGCTGTGTATTGGCAAGAATCTGGTAATACGATAGGTATCACGATACGATATATTGCGATACAATAGGCACCGTATTATACTGTTGTTTCAAACAATTGAATTTGAGGAAAAGTGTCAGCATAGTAAAAACGCTGTTACATGCTAAACATCAGGTTACCCAAATTTAAATTGGGGGTGCTCTGCATTTGTAATCAATACACAAATTAACAATATAATAATCTTTGTCTCAAATACTCGCAAATATATGCAGTCCCTCTACAATCAACTAGTGGTCTGAGATTTGAATGCAACACACAAATGAACCAGCGGCATGAATATTTGTCAAAAAATTGACACAGTCTGTAAAATTAATACGGTATAGTGAAACAAAAAATCGCAATATTTGTGTATCGATTTATATTGTATTTATATTACATCTCTCTGCCTCAACCTGTACAATGGAGATCACTCAACAGCCACTGCAGAGGTTTATAGAACAAAACAGACAAGCTAACTCTTCAGGCCAGGACTCAGCTGTTTATCTGCACCTCAAGGATAAAGGACATCATTTGAGGACAAGAATTATGTATTCTTGCGAGAGAAGACAGATGGTTTTAAAGAGGTATAGAGGAATCTATCTCCGTCAACCTGTAGAAAGCACAACTCAACATGAGGTGTGTCCCTCAGGTGAATGCAGCATTTTAATGGTTGGTTGAGGCGTGGTCACAACTTCTGTTTTGATATCACAAATCACTTCAAGAGGCTAAATATTACATTTTTCCAGTAGTCAGTTAGGATAGAAGAAGCCTCTACGATGAGAGGTGAAACCCAGACGGTGCAGTTGTCTATTTCTTAAGGCACTTTGCTTCGAACTGGACAGATTTAAAAGGAAAATGTCCATGCAATGCAGCAGTCTCAGGCCCACCCCCAAACACTGGTGGTAGATAATGGTGCCAGTGCTGATCAACATCCTGTGATCCAGGATGTTTCTGTGTGTGTATTCAGAGCCATTAAACGACTGACTTTCAAAACAATAGTGATAATTAAAAAATACAGTTACTGTTATTTTGATTGGTTCATGCAATAACAATATAATACATTAATGTGTGTAACTATGGATGAAACACTATTGATCGTGACTTTCTTTGTTTCCTTATTTGCATCTCACAGTCAAAGCCAGCTCAATTTGAATTGAAGAACGCATAAAAAACTTTTTACTTTTCGGCAAGCAAAGCAAACAACCAAGACAATGCTTCAGTGACTGCGGGACAAGCTTCTGAGTGTCCTTGAGTAGTCCAGCCAAAGCTGAGAGTTAAACTTCAGAGAACATCTGTTTAGACCTGCAGGTCACAGAAGCTTCACAGCCAATCCGACAGCTCTTGAAAGGATTTCTCTGGAAGAAAAGGATAAACAGCCTAAACCCAGGTGCGCAAAGGTTGCAGATACTCACACTGGAAGATTTAATTTTGTAACTGCTGCCAAAAGGGTTCTCACAAAGTGCTGAATTAGGGATCTTCACATTTCAAAATGGAATCCACAACATTAAAAATATGAAAAATAGCAGCGCTCTATGTTTTTCTTCAGCCACTTGCCCTGCTTTATTTTGCTCCTCCTGCACTGACAGTTTCCACCAGTAAAACCGCACTTAGTTCTGCCTTGTCAAACTCTCACGATTGGAGGGGGGTTGTTTTAATAGAGTGTTACCACGTTGGTACCCACGGGTCTCAGTGGCCAGGCTGTGGTTCAGAATATACTCTGCGTCTTTCATGTGTTGGTCTCTCACAATGTCTCCATTGTTTTGTCAGCACCACTTACCTGTGTCCAGAGGACATTGCACATCCCTTTTATCATAGCTGTTATTAGACTACTGAATTGCAAAGCCATCAATCTGCCTTACAGGCACGTCTGTTGTGATCATACATAGATCAGAACACATGTCAGGGTGTGTGTTTCTTTTAAATGCCATGTAAAATGTAATGTAACAAAAAAAGCTGTCCACTGCAAGGCTCAAATATTCCTTTTGGTAAAGTCAAGTGCTGGTGTATTTAGCGCTCTGTAAATGTCTCACTGGAGGCAGTGTGT